GAGCTGGAAGGAGGCATGAGGTATGCTACCGGTTGAACTGTCCAAACTTTCTTCAGTTTGCGGGTCTTCAGCTTCACTAATTGACCTGTGGTTAGTGGCAGTTGTTATCGGCAAACTATGGTATGGTGTTTCGGCTGGAGTGTCTGAGGGATTTGGTGCATTGTGCAACGCGGGATCTGCAGTTTGTGTGTCTGTCAAAATCAAAGATTGTGACTTTTGGGTGGCTGTCGAGCTTGAACTTTCCATTGGTTCCCGTGTTTCAACGTTACCGGATTGGTTGGCTTCACTGGTATCCTCGCTAATCCATGTTGCCGGCATACGGGCTGCTGGTTCAGTCGGATTAGAGGTAAACTGTTGTGTGTTAGCCATCGTTGAATCTATGCTTTTGGACTCTGTCACATCCCTAGACTCAGATTCAGGCAGCATATCTTCACTTGAACTGTCCAAACTTTCTTCAGTTAGCGGGCTTTCTTCTTCACTAAATAGGCTATATGTAAAGCTGGTGGTCATCGGCGAATTAGAATCCTGTGTTTCAGTTGGAATGTCAGAAGGATTTCGTTCACTAATCAACGATTGATCTGCAGTTTGGCTGTCTGTCAAAGTCGGAGGGTGTGGTTTTTGAGAGGCCGAGCTTGAACTTTCTATTGTTTCCTGTGTTTCAGCGTTCTCAGATCGAATGGTTTCACTGATATCCTCGCTAATCCAAGCTTCCGACATATCGGTTACTGGTTCAGTCGGATAATAGATCGACCACTGCGTTGTAGACATCGTTGAAGCTATGCTTTTGGACTCTGTCACATCCCTAGACTCAGATTCAGGCAGCATATCTTCACTTGAACTGTCCAAACTTTCTTCAGTTAGCGGGCTTTCTTTTTCACTAAATAGGCTATATGTAAAGCTGGTGGTCATCGGCGAATTAGAATCCTGTGTTTCAGTTGGAATGTCAGAAGGATTCGTTCACTAACAAGCTTCCGACATATCGGTTACTGGTTCAGTCGGATAATAGATCGACCACTGCGTTGTAGACATCGTTGAATCTATGCTTTTGGACTCTGTCACATCCCTAGACTCAGATTCAGGCAGCATATCTTCACTTGAACTGTCCAAACTTTCTTCAGTTAGCGGGCTTTCTTCTTCACTAAATAGGCTATATGTGAAGCTGGTGGTCATCGGCGAATTAGAATCCTGTGTTTCAGTTGGAATGTCAGAAGTATTTTGTTCGCTAATCAATGATTGATCTGCGGTCTGGGTGTCTGTGGCGTATGAATTTCCTATGGGCTTTCTTGTTCCCCCGTTGTCTGTTGGTCTGGGTTTATGGGTTTTCTTGGTGGACGGCATTTCCGTCCACCTGTTGGTGGTTTTTGATTGCATTTCGGAGGACAATTTTGTGCTACGCTCCGTTGTTATTTGTGTTCTAGATGCTGTGCTTGTTTTTGCTCTTGTGGTTGGTGCTTTTGCGGTTGTCGGCTTTCCCCTTGTTACATTTGTGGTTGATGCTATTGCGGCTGTCGGTTTTCTCATTGTCACTCTTGTGGTTGGTATTTTTGCGGTTGGCGGTATTCTAGTTGTCGCTCTAGTTGTTGGTGCTAATGCGGTTGTCGGCTTTCTCGTTGTCGCTCTGGTGGTGGGTGCTTTTGCAGTTGTCAGTTTTCTCGTTGTCGCTCTAGTGGTTGGTGCTATTGCGGTCGTCGGCTTTCTCGTTGTCGCTCTGGTGATTGGTTCTTTTGCGGTTTTCGGTTTTCTCGTTGTCGCTGTAGTGGTTGGTGCTGTTGCGTTCGTCGGCTTTCTCGTTGTCGCTCTTGTAGTGGGTGCTATTTTGGTTGTCAGTTTTCTCGTTGTCGCTCTGGTGGCTGGTGCTTTTGCGGTCTTCGGTTTTCTGGTTGTCGCTCTAGTGGTTGTTGCTTTTGCGGTCTTCGGTTTTCTCGTTGTCGCTCTTGTGGTTGTGGTGGTTTTGGTCGCTTTTGTTTTTGTTGTCTTCTTTGCGGGGTTTCCCGGTCCGGTACATTTTTCTTCATTGCAGCAGGGATCCTTCGAGCCTGAACGCTTTTCGTTGTTTTTGGGACATTTTTCGCAACTGCGATCTGAGCGTGTCACCTTTCCATTTTGTAAGGTTTCTTCATGCTGGCAGATAAATTGAAACAGAATTGCCTGTATATATCTAATCTTCAAAAAATGTTACATATAAACATTCGTATCCTGAAACCTGTGTACTGCAATTTTACATAGCTAAGAGATACCTCAATACAATGAATGAATTTTGACAAATCTTTGAAAGTGTTTTCTGGTCTGCAGGTGTACGGTAAGCGTAGAAAACTGGCAAAGCAGAATTAGTGACAGGGATCCTTTGAATACTCCAAATTATTATGTCCAATCTAAGTTGGATTTTTATGGGTTTAAATCTGACAAATGTTTCACAAAATCATTATTATTGCAGTTTCTTGCATTAAAATTCTAGTATAAGTCTCGGGTGCAATAGAAATAATGACGCGGATTTCCATAAGTGAACAAAGGACGGGAATTATATTTTTGTATCGTTCCAGAAAGTTTACGATCTTCACCGACACCCTTATGTTCTGAAAATTCGCGCCTCATCATAACTTAAGTGAATTGTATAAACCATACTAGGACGGAAGCCTTTGGGAAGCAGGAATAGTTAACTCATCGTGTCTGCAGAGTCCAAAATTTTGACCGTTGGGATGATAGGAAAAATTCATCCGGTTTTTGGAAGAGTGAATGATGTATCTCTGAAGATCTCACAAGCGCGCTTTTAGAAATACCCGCTATCGTGGTACTATGAAAAACTAACAACCAAATAAACCTTTTCTAAGCTTGCTCTAAATCAAAATTTTGACCTGGTCAACTTATTGGGGAGGATCACTAATTTGGTGGGTGTGCATTGTCGAAACAAACGCGGTATTGGCATGCGAGATCAAGCAGGATACCTTTCAGTGGACTGCATTAAAAGTAGGAGTACGCCTTTCAATAATACCCAAAACGAGTTGAGAAAATATGGTCACCATGTTGAATGCTGGAGCGCCCTGTTATCATGCTATTTGTGGTAGGAATTTTACTTCCCGAAATGTGGATGGGCAGAAGCAATTGGCTGGTAGCTCAGTTATATAAAGAGGGCTACAAAAACGGAATTGGTGCCGCAGGATGACGCATTTGTCTGCTTGTTAAGAACAGCAGTTAAGAACAACACACAGCCTCGGTTCCTAGAAAGGTGATGTGATTTCTGCCAAAATTAAACAAAAGTTGAAAGACCATTCCGAATCCACCTACCCGGACAATAGTTTATTGTAATCAATCCGAGTTTTGTGGGTAAAACTTTTGTGGATGTCCTCAATGCCAGCGGTTAATTTCTTTGCTCAACAATGATTCATCCGAAATTTTAACAGCGGGGAAACATTCAGATACCGGTAACACAGAAATAACTTTGGTTAACATATGCTAAGGCTTAATCGCAGCACATCCTTTTCTGTTGTTCTCGGTTTTCTTTTGGTCAACTGCGGAGACATTTCCTAAACATTTGAGTGTGTTCAGATCGCCTCGAGGATCACTACATCTGGAGCCATGGCCAAATTAACAGGCGAACTTATAAGTTTCCGACATAGTTTATATACGAGAGGTACCGAGGCTATAAAATGCCTACGTTTAATTTTTTGCAGCCATACGTGAAATAAATAATTATTTAAATGGATGTTAACAATCACTTAGCTGTGGCCAATTTACCACGCCCAAATGCCATTTTACCCGAAGAAAGCAAACGTGCTGCGACACTCGCGACAGCCTAGAAACGAGCACTTGAGGTGTCTGTCGTTGCGCTGAATTAACGGATCACTATTTACGTGCCCCATTCACTGCCGGCGGCTAAAGTGGCTGTTGTTGAATAAAATGTATCGACATCTTTACGAGGCGTGTTTACTTGCATCATTGTGAATACAGGGATAAACGGGGCCATCAGTGACCGCACTCAGCCAATATATGTAGAGTGCATGGTGCTCTTGTAGTTCATGCGAAGCTGATGGTAAGCAACGTAACCTTCTGACAGTATCACCCTCTGTGAACACTGCAACCTTCATGTCGTTATTGCGGATGCAGAATGTAAGCAGGTGGCGTTTTTGAAAACACTTTTACGATATAACGTGTTTTTATGTTTACACTATAAGATTTCTGTTCTTGGGATTTTGGTCCAGAATAACAAATTCTGCTGATGTCGTTGGTGGTACGGCCGTATGAAGAGGTGGTGACCATTGGGAATAAATTAAACACTCCAAAATGAAAACTTCCTCGTGAAGTACCCATACATGCTCGGCAGCTTCCTACATTTGTTCGAATTATTCAGGTCAAAATTTGCACCTATTGAAATAAGACAATTAAAGTGTGCATTTGTGCTGATCATTTATGAGAGGTGTGTGGAGTTTCTAATTGAATAGAATTAAATGGATTATATTCACAGAAGCATTGACATTTACGAATTCATGATCTGTCAACTGGGACATTTCCAGGTAGAATGTTTACGACCATTTGACGGTTCTGGTGCGACCGCATCGCCAGTGTTTCGCGCAAGCAAAAAATCGTGAGTTTTGACATTGAAACAAACAGTTTGATGTGAATGCAATAACCAACATTCCCTACCAAAATGCTTCTCGATCGCAATCTGACTGTTTATCAATAAAAGCAATATTCAAGACAGGACACCAAAATGTTGCTATCAGTTCCTAAATTATAACACCACTTCAATGGCCACTTTCAATAATCCATCCGATGAACGGAGACTTATATTCAGACTAAGGCAAACTTTGCTCAACTGATCGGGTTGTTGAGGTACGAGCGAATTCAGCACTAGTTGCCTGCGGACGGAATCAGCTGTACGACGGCCGCAACAGTACACTGTCTAAGTAAGTGTTTCCAAGTGTGCTTTTTAAGAGGAAAATCTGACCATGGGTGCACAAGTCCATGATGAGAGACTCAGGAGAAAGTTAAAAAAGGAAAAAGGATGTGGGTAACAAAAGTGACTTACCACACAGGAGGGGCATTTGTCCTTGACTTTAATACCACTAGTTTTAAATGGAACTGGGCATTTGGAACATACGTAGCATTGTAGTGATTCGGCTAAGACGAACCCTGAATGCGAAATAAATTTAAACTTACCCCCAATCATGACTTCATACAGCAACATTACTTTGAGCAATTCTCCAAAAAGCATTGTTGCAGTTAGTTTCACACCTGTGGGTTCCTCTTCGGTTATCTCAGTGCCTTGAAACTCGATATTTATATTTTTCTGTCATAATTGGAATTCAATCACTATGAAGGATATGTCGTCAATCATAACGTTTACACCACCTAATAACTACATTAATGTGATCATATCGTACTGTGCACGAATTTGAGGTTGTTCATGCACAAAACTATCCCATATTATCACCCGTTGTTTCCCAAGAAGAATGGAACACCACTGACTTGACAGGCGCCCCCTGTCAAAAATAGCAAAACTTTGAACTCAAACACAACTGTAAGACGTCACTCATTCTTCTATGGAAACACCTGGTTTAGGAACTGTTGCCCACATTTTGACAAATTGGTGGATAAAAAGCATCCCATCTTCACCTGAGCGTTTTGTAATGACCCTGCTCTCAATGGTTTCCTTGTGTACGAGATGAGTTTCAGGATTGAACTACATAAGTTAGGAGTGAACAAATAAATACCAATACCGAATAAATACCAATATTACGTGACCTTCATTAACGAACCAACATATATCTTGTTTGCGAATCAGTTTTATTGACCGTATAATCTGTAATCTCCCTCCAAGAGTTTCACGTAATCTGTCGGTTGGTATGCAAACACCTAAATATCACTATAACGTGGTTGGATTGCTGACAAAACTAGGCAAAATACTAAGCGACCAGGGCAAGTTTAATTCAACGGCATCAACACACTGCTCGTGCATTTGTGGTTCTACCGCGCCTCTCCATTTGGACAATCGTAAGCTTTCCAAAAGAGAATGGTGTAGGTGATCTAGTCCAGTTCAGGGTCCTACTGTTCATTGCTGTCAATCGTACGTCTGCACAGCGCTGCCTTGCTTCAATGCAGGTTGCTCATAATGTCAATCCCACTGGTGATGGTAAGTTTAGAACCTCAGACAACCACTCAACCACCAGTGTTTAGAACCCAGTTAAAGCTAAAGTGATCATTTTTCGACGCCATATTTATATTCTTTCGGTCAATTTGTACATGCGTATGTGACTTTAAAGTATTTCAGGGTTAACTTTTGCAACAAAGCTTGTCTTTCATCTTTTCATTCCCCAGGCGCTGTGAAAATATAAATATTGCGTTTAAAATCAAGAACTAAATCTGGGAGATGCCTGCCTAATTAATTTGTTTACAGGAATGATGCAGACGATTTCTTATGCTAGCCCTTATTCTAGATATTTGATGCTTCCTCTTCGATGTACAGTGGACGCAGCCAGATATCATGTATGTTGTCTAAATTGTCGAGCCGTGCATTGTGCATGCGACACGCCTGCGCAGATAACTAGTGATAAGTACCGATTGAAACTAAGGAAATATTAAGTGCATTTCAGGAATTGGGTATATAATCGCATTCAATATTCTGGAGCAAAGCTGAATGCACATTCCAACAATTAGTGTTCTTGCGAAATATAGGACGGGTAATATTTGCATAGTTTACAACACTTTAGCACGCCACACGATTAACTAATAGTATGAAAATCTGATCGAAGACCTACCAGCTGATCGCCCCAGTGTACAGCCAACGGTCAGTGCCAAACAACATCATCCAGTCAGTGGGATTCACTTGTTTCCTCAGGCGACGAAGATACGCAATCCGGTCACTGTCAATAAAAAAACGCGATTGCGTGAAACATTCTGCGAAACCGAGTGTGACAAATCGCAATCAGACACATCACAATGGACGATGAAGAGTTCGGACCAGTCAAACTCGATTCCTTGTGGAATAGTAAAAACGCAGTTTAGTTCAATATAATGCGGGTTTCCTGTTGCAGCCCAAAACAATTTGTTCAAATCCGAGGACACGACATGTTGTCAGTGATTTAACCAGATTACACTGCTGATGATCACACCACCTGTAGTCATCTTAGTATCCAATCACAAAAACCTTGCCATGTTACGATTATTTATTTCTTTCGACCAAATTCAATCTAAAATATAAATAACCGACAGGATGCAACGTTGCTATCACGGCGAGCTAAGTAGACCACCCACCTTCATGTATGAAATTACGAGGTTCGAGAATCCGTCGAGTATTTGCTGAGACGTGCGAGCAAGTTTAGGATCATCACATAAATGTTGTGTTACTTGAACGCAGAAGATTGACGGAATGACAAAAACAAAATGACGCGATGGTGAAAGCTGAACTGCAGGAACTGAGCACCACAACAAATCAACCACCGACAAATTCATACAAGATTGTCATATCCATGTCATTGTTGGAGAAGTTTGTGAGAATACACAAGGCGACCTGAATGTAGAACACTTTACCGTTAAACGGCTATCACACCTCTTCAATCGGTAGACTGTCGAAATTAGATGAAATCATAAGGACATCAGTGATTCTCTCCATCTTTCGCAATCTACTGACATCTCTTTTCTGTTTGCCAGGCGGCCTTCCAGATGTCCAGGGCAACAGCAGGGCCAATTTGCACAGTTGGGATAGGAAAATTAAGTAGTTCAGTCACGACGTCAATAATAATTTAGCGTTGCCGCTGACCTCCAGTTCAAAACACATTACCGCTGCAGCAATGTGTATGTGTTCATTTTCAGTCCGGGATCTTTCATGACACTCAAATATGGCCTATTTTGTAAGTTGTAAATAAATATCCGCAGTAGCTTCGTTGTTTGGCCACAACACACACAAACATGTTTTGTGATAGTGTGAAAATGCCACCTGGTAAAATGTCAATAATCATGTTGGTTGCAAAAGAACCTTTATTTTATGAAAGAAATTTTAAAATTCCATTAAGGGCAAATCAAGCTGCAGAAACCGCGCGACCAATTGTACGTTTATCTAGGAAAATAAGACATCAACTTGCTACTGAACAACCAATACTAGAATATCAAATATACAACATTTGCCCATTTCGCGTCCCCATATCGATATGCTATGGAAGTCACACGGATGATTTCTTGTGCAAGTATTCATTCTAGATATCAGATGCTTCCTCATCGTTTTACAGGTGCAGACCAGGTAGAAGAGTCCAGCCCTGGAATCGCAGCTGGCGTGGAACAAAGCAGGTGAAGATCAGGTAGAAGAGTCTAGCCCTAGAAGTGTACCAAGTGCCCAAAGTTGAACCACTTCACTAGACAATGTGATTGCGTCACTGTGAATTCGTTGAAGCAATCGGAAAAGAATAATTATGCTTAAATGGTGTCAGAGTTAACGCTGGTGTAGCAACATTGTAGTCAGAGCACCCCACTCATTGAACGTTCCGAAAAAGTCAAAGTAACATCAGAACGACTGTCAACATCATTCCAGGCAACTAGGTAACAGCTGTTCGGATCGATGAATCCGGTGTCGCTCTGCATTGCGGAAACGGATCACAATCGAAGCAAGTTGTAGTGTCCGTATATGGGAACGTCTTACGGCCAGGACTTACACTGCAGTGACCGATAGATGAGGCAATCGGGATCGCGAAACAATGCAGCATGAATAGAATATAAGCTATTAAAATGGCAGGCTTGTATAAATCGGTTTGCGATCACTCTATATTTTCAGCTCATGTAACACCGTTATCAGACCTTTGTAGTTTACATTATATCCTTTTCTTCTGCGTTTACTTTAATCTCGACACGCGACCTCCGGACTTCCGCACTATTTGGTCAAGATTAGTATAATTTGCGAAAGTCGAACAATTAAGCACGACAGTCAGGGACGAAATTCAACACTGTTTATTCGGGATAGTTTTTGGAGATCTCACTTCCGGGAACCCCAACTTACAAATTAGCAAAAGACTTATGGAGAAGATTAAAACACTTAATCTCCGGATCAACACACAGTCAATAATGCAGGTCAGTTCCTACACAAACTACGGAACGTCAGTATAGAAGACGATGAAGTCATGCTTTCATTTGATGTCACATCGCTGTTCACTTCAATCAACCACAACCTCGCCAGGACAACCCTAGCAGAACTGCTTCAGACTAAGCCCAACACGACAGGAACCATGAAACCTGAAAGTATAGGCAAACTGCTGGACTTTTGCATGGATACATACTTTACCTTCGATGAACAAATATATCAACAGCTGAAAGGAACTCCAATGGGATCTCCAATATCAGGATTTATTGCTGAGGCGGTAATGCAAAGGTTAGAGCATGCGGTACTGCCGATCATCAATCCAAAACTTTGGATCCGCTACGTGGACGGCACCTTTGTCATCATGAAACGGGATTCAGTGCACGAGGCACATGAACTGCTCAACACCACTTTTGAAGATATCAAGTTTACAATCGAACTGGAAAGAAACAATCGACTACCATTCTTAGACGTTCTAGTGAACAGAAAGATGGATGGGACTCTGGAAACCTGTGTATACCGGAAGGAGACTCATACAGATCAAATCCTGAACTACAACAGCAATCACCCAGTAAACCACAAGAAGAGCTGCGTCCAAACCTTGTTCAAGAGGGCGGAGACACACTGCAGCACCACAGAACTGCGGAAGAAGGAAGAAAACCATCTACTCAGGGTATTCCAGAACAATGGATATCCAAGGAATTTTATCAAGAGAAGCTTGAAGAAGAAGACACCCCAACCACGGCAACAGCAAGAACAAGCCACCAGACGGGTAGTCCTGCCTTACATCAGGAATATATCAGAACTCGCGACCAGATTATTGGCTCAAAAAGGAATATTTGTGGCCCACAAACCGAATGCCACCCTGAGGAAATTAATCTCTAGACCGAAGGACAACCCGGACAAAACCAAGAAGAACAATGTGATATACCAACTCAACTGCAACAACTGCAACAAATTCTACGTCGGACAAACTGGCAGGAGACTATGCACACGAATAAAGGAACACAACGCGGCCGTCAGGAGGCATGACCCCCTGTCCTTGATATCCATACACGAGGACCAAGAAGGCCACAAATTCAACTTGGAAAACGCAGAAATTTTGGCATACGGACGCACGAGGCACGGAAGAGAATTTCTGGAAGCATGGTACTCGACGGCAAATTCGATCAACCGGTGCATCGAACTGGACCCAATTTACGCACCCCTACGTGCAAAAGACCAACAACTCAACCGGAAAACTCAAGGAAGACCGAATATTGGATTCACAAACAACGAAACAAGGAACTCCTTGGAGGCAAATCAATAAAGGTCACAACCCAGGACTGGAAGGGACAAAGGTCAATCTAGCTTCGACCAGATTACGACGGAGGGGATGCCAAGCTCAAAGGTCACGTGGGCATCGGCGAATGGGGATACAGGACAACGGAGCAACCAATGGAATCACCCGACCGAACAACTAATCGCGACCAAAGGTCATCCTAGCAGAGCAGCACGTATATTAACACACGCACAACACTACCCAACGCACAACCACCAACCCACCGCTACGCACTACTACGCTCCACCGCACTGATGCTACCAACATTTTCCTCTATAGAATACTTTGATTTTTTAACAAACACAAGCTCGAAAGAAATTTGTGTTGCGCACGTTTTCCATATTTATTCAATTTAATCGACCAGGTGCACTTATTTCGTCACAGTTTACACAGAGCACGCCAGGTCAACCGCGTAAACCTAGTCCGGGATTAATAATTTTTTATATATATGTTATATAATATACTAATAATAATAGTTAGTAAAAACCCACTGCAGCAGACAAAAAGGCGATGTCATTGTTTCTAAAGTTGACCCTGAAGTATTTTGCCGGTTTAAGTTAAGTTTTTTATTACGGCACCAATAATTTCAAATTTAGTTTCCTGTAAGGTTGTATGGTGCACCTTTCTGGAATAAACGTCACTCTGCAAAATATCCGCATTTTTAAATTTTGATAACTGGCGTAAAAGCACTTACAAACAGATGGTTTTGGAGCATTTGAAACAGTGACATCGTTCGGGTGTCTAGTTGACAGAGATGTTGGGGATGAAATTTGTTTAACAGTGGAGGTCGCCTGTCATTTTCTCTGCTGAAAATGGCCAGGTTGTAAGAAATAAATTAGAGAGTATTACAGGCTATTATGTTTCTCTTCCTTTAAAAGATCACGTTCGCAGTAAAGTTTTGCATTTTGGTGGTGCGGTTTCATCGGATATTCACTAGAAATTCCATCAGACTGAAATGCCCAATTTTCCCACCTAGTACCACTTGCGCCGTCCAAAGTACAAACTCCTGTGACAGCTAGATGCATCTTAGCATTTATTTGAATCGTCACTGGCGAGCAGAAATCGTGCATAATAGTGCGAGATTTCTCTCCACACCTGCTGAGCTACTCGAACATCCGATATTTATGAGGAACTCATTATAAATATTTGGCTGTTTGGTTGAATCTGTCTAACATCACGAAGCAACCAAAACAGTTCTCTCCGATGGATAGTTATTTTGACTCCGCCACCAACGTAATCAGCCTACCACTACATAATAAGCATTTTTGAAGTTCGACCGTAAACATGCATGTTTCAAGCTGCTCATTAAAACATTACCCACTAGCAACAGCCGTTGTCGTTATCATGCCGCTTCGTTGCGGTCTACTAATAAGTGAACGCTTTTGTATGTTGTATTCTTGAGTGCAAATACCGCAGTATAACCACAACTATCATTGTCTACATATGAATTTGCAAGCCAAGCACGAACATTTCAAACGCGGCGAAAAAGAATGGGGCGATATAAACGTGTTTACAACATCAACACTCCATTTTGAATCGTAATTCATGGTCGAAAGCTGAACTAAAGTACAGCCCACTACATCAAAATGTGTCGCTCATACAGGACGACAAGTTATAATCTAAGGAACCTGCAAGTATGTGTATTGAGGATGAATCAAGCTGCCAACCGTATAGGCGAAAATAAAGCATGATGCAGAACATGACATACGCATTTCATGGTTAAAAACCGTATAGCGATTTCATTTGTGTAATCTCATGTGTTATATGGACTGCATGTTGAACGGTTGCTTGATGTAAGAAACGAGGATTTGTCCAGTGAGTTGACATTTCAGTATATGACTTCTTTCTTTGCAGGATAATATTGCTGAATTGAAAATGGCATTTTTGTTGAAATTTTCACTATGTAACCATTATGATGATATGGGGCGTATTGTTTACACACTAGCACAGATACTCATGTTTAGAGGAATTGTATTACGTATGTTTGACATTTGCCGAAAAATGCAGTTCATGCGACGAAGTAAGATATATTTGGCGGGCGGAACAGGGAGGCAATGTGTGGTTAATTTCGTTTAGAGCGCACAAGATCTCATTGAAAAAAAATTGTGGAATATTCCGTTTACCAAAGCTGAAAACATTTGCTTGATCTGGCTGGGCGTTCGGGTCTGCTGATTAGGTTTCCAATGTAAATATGTCCTCCTAACAAGCCGGGTCACTATGCATGCATTTTGTTCCAGGTGAACCGTATAAAATTTCTTTATTTTACTTTGAAACTGGCAGCTTACATGTTCAACCCTTTTGGTGATCGTCGTTAACAAAGAAATCCCGAAAAACTAGGTACGCATTTGCGAAGATTCAGCAACACATAAGGTTCTGGAACCATATGCAAGAATGTCATTCTCAGCAGAGTACTCCATTTGGATATTACGATTATGATGTATTTGCGTCCAAGCAATAATATAATTACCGCGCATCACCAGAGTAAATTTATATTTATTTATCGGTAGTGTGAGGAGATTTGTGATTTTGTGGAGGTTTCGTCGTGCATGTGGAGACAATGTGTGCTGAAAAGCCGAAAAGCATTGTGCATCCGTTTCACCCTTATTGAATCATCAGAAGTGCGCGTCTCACAAACTCGCGACCTACCGGCTAGTAATTTAAACGCTTGCCTGTTCGGCCACGAGTGACTGACCAGCAGTGTGCTGACCTCGCACTTAGGCAGGATATAGCGCCGCTCATCATTCAATCAAGGGACTCTTATCACGCGGTCACACGTTTTGACTGGCTCCTCGAGCAACGACTTCTCAGATAGAAGTTTCACTCATCGGGTGATGTTTATTCTTCCACTGAGCTGCTTATATATTGTTGGTAGCGTGAGGAGATTTGGGATTTTTGTGGGATTTCGTCCTGTAAGTGAAGCCAATCTATGCTGAAAAGCCGAGAAGCACTGTAGAGCTGTTTCATCCTTATTGGGAATCATCAGCGGTGGGCATCTCACGATACTCCGAAGAGTCTCGAACCCGCGACCTCCCGGCCAGTAGTTTGAACACTTAAACGTTCGACCACGAGTGGCTGATCAGCAGTGTGATTAACTTGCACTTAGACAGGATATAGCGCCTCTCATCTTTCGCTCACGGGATCCACATCACGCGGTCACACGTGTTAACTGGCTCCTCCAGCAACGACTTCTAAGATAGAAGTTTCACTCATCGTGTGAAGATTATTCTTCCACTGCGCTACTTATTATTGTTGGTAGTGTGAGGAGACATGGGTGAGTCGTTCTAACAGAGAAAATTAGGTAGGATATTCAAGCCACAACTTTCGATTGTTTGACAGCGGATAGTGGGAGCCAAGTAGTCAGAAAATGAGTTATTCACAGAGTTTCCCTAGGTTGCGAGATGTTGAAGCATAAAATTGCATAGAGTGTGTCAAGTGATCAAAACTAGCCCCTTTTCCAGGCAGAAGAAGCTGGATCAACCAGTTGCTGCACAATAACCTCCGATATATGTCTCTCGAATGGAATTCATTAGGGTCCCCAGGTAGGTCAAGCTGCGAAACTACTTCCTCGGCTATAAATCAATCAATCACTTACTGCTGATGGTCACTATTCCAGGTCAACTGATACACGAATCAGTTCATCCTTTTGCATGTATGACCAGCTGGTGTCACTGACATTTTCATAGGCTTACGATTTCCCAAACGTTCCTAAATTTAAGCAATCGCCGTCTTCGTTGCACATCAATTTTTACGTTACTGAAACTGTCGCATTCATCATATGGCCGATGGATGGTGTTCTATACTTGACTTTGTTTGGCAGTAGTTATCGGGTCATTGAAATACCATGGGCCTTAGAAGGTGAGAATTGCACAAGAATTACAGATAATCTTGCTAAATATTTGTATAACAAACTGGGCATAAGTAATTAGTTATATACACATTTACATACGCGAATGTTAGCAGCCGGAGGCCCACAACATCTCTACAATAGTTACCTTGTAATTCCCCGCTTTTTTCTGTGGACGGAAAACTTTATTCACCGTTTATATCGCTAGTCAGGCATGGTCCTCAAAATGGCATCTTACTCCACAAGTAACGCAGTTTTTATCCGGTTCAGGTTAACACGACATGTATAATGATTTGTCTGACGGGATAGTTTTGGTGTTATTGTAATGCGGTTGTTCGAGCCTAAGAAAGAGATGATACATGACCTTTTGCAGTGAAACTTTCTAAATAAAAGCATAACAGGCTGATTCCCGTTAATGCTTGAAAGAGTCAACGGAAGACTACGCGCACCCACGTTTTGGTGCAATTTCGCTCATTGAAGATGCCCTTTTTGAAAGCGAAGTGACCTTATCAATATTTCGGAAGGTTACCAAAGTATGTGTAACATAGATTCATCATCGACTAAGCAAGCGAGTGCGTTCCACTCACTTAGAGGTGCGGCTCGCACCACTAAGTCTTTCTGAAAATAAAAGGAATCTAACAACATAATCGGAGTCTAAACATAAATTAGGAAACCTATAAGATGCTCAAAATAAAACTCGACATCTTGGTTCAAGCAGAATATCCTCCTGTGCTGGCACTCAGTCGCCCGATTCTGACGTAGGTTAGGTCTTGTTTGCAAATGGTGTTGGGCTGAATATTAACTGTCAGAGTCATTGGCGTTTCTCTGTATCCTTTGAATGTAATTATCTGTGCCGCGGTGCGTCGAACTTGTACAAATTCCCATCAAGCAAAATACACCTCAAATTATTGCACAGATTGAGTAACTGATTTGACTTACGCACGAAGCTACATGAGCAGCCAAGCCACACTGACCACGTTACCACGTCATTTGAATGTGGTGAATGAAAGATGAAAGGCTCTAAGACGTTTCTAAATGCGAGTTATTCTCACAGTCGATTAGCCACCCTTAGCCGAACGACGCATTCTTCGAAAATGCGAGTTTTGCTTACTCCAAAAATAATACAAACATGTTTAGTGTTTTTTGGAAAATACAGACCTCATTTACGCAATGAAATTGGGTTCGTATATTATGCTTCCCTGATATTGCACTACACACACTCTTATTGTAAACTTTTCGATAGTGAACAACGTCCACTGACGTGATCCCAGGCGATTTTGCTGAGATTATACTATACTTTGACACCGACTGGCTTTACGAGCATTATTCTA